ATGGCTTTATAGAAAATGTCGAACGAAGGCAAGTTTTGTCCAGAGAAGAGAGGCCACAGCCATTGGATACCGTGCAAGTACCAAAAGGGGATGGTTCTGAGTTTTCATATTGTAATACCAAACAGTTTTGTGAGACTGTAAAACCATGTAGTGCTGATGGTGGTGATCATGGTGATCATGGTGATGGTTGTGGTGATGATGTTTATGAAGGTTTTGATGGTGATGGGTCTGTTATTTGCACTGGTGATGATGGTGGTGATGATGATGGTGGTTTTTATGATGTCCATGAAATTGGTTATATTGAGAGTGGTGATGGTGGTTTTGATGATGGTAATGAATTTGGTGGTAGTGATGATGGTGTTTATGATTATAGTGATGGTTGTGATGAAATTGCTGGTGATAGTGATGATAAAATTAATGATGGTCGTGTGGTACTGTCCAATATGAATAACTTACAACAGACATTAACTTGCTTAATTCGTCTGCGTTATGCCATCGAACGAATGTCATCTAAAGGGTTGTTTCCCTATCCTGTCACTGCGCTTGTCAAGGTCATGAAATACATTGAAACTTTATATGAGGGAGAAGGATGACACGAGTTATGAACTATTAAACGTTTTGTGTTCTAGACTTGGAATGAAAACCCAAATGCTTGAACTACACGGAAGTTGGGCTGTTGGTGTAGCTACTTTGGAATACTGCGTGTAATTAAAGTTATTTTTATCATACTAGTCTTGTACAATGCTTTGAGTGATGACCTGCGTGAAGTTAACGTATTTTCTTGCTAAATGGGTGATCATATTCATATACAGTCCTGTGCTCTCTTAGGCCTCAATCGCTTCAACGATAATGTTAACTAGAGGGTATTCGAAGACTACGTACCACCCAGCTAATGTCGAGTATTTATGTCTAAATTACGCATACATGCATTGATTACGCAATCATTCACTCCATCTTGTTCTGTTGTGCCCGGAAAAGCAAGACAAATTACTGTTAATTATTCATCAAAATTGAACTAAAATTTGATCATTCGTAATTTACCTACGGCTACGGCCATTGCTTCCACATTTTTGTATCAAAATGTGTGATCGCTTTTGAGTTGGTGGAAACATAACCTATAGCAGAGGTGTAATAAACGCAAGACAAACAATTCTTTTCAATATCAATTGGAATTCGCTTGTCACTCTTTGAAGTGCACCATACAGCCTTCCTATAACCATGCGTGTTTGTTTCTTTATTAAGTATGTTTATGTTTACAGTTAATATCAGATTCAATACAATGTAAAACGTATACAATACTATAAAATTGTGTTCTCCGTATCATTGTTGGATTAAAATACCTAATGAGTAATGTATAAGCTTTATGGTTGTTCAAACCCCCCGGTTGGTTTCATTCAAAACATTGAGCAGTGACGAGGGGTTTTCATTCCTTGAAAACTGTTGGAACTCGTCTTTGCAAATACCAGTATGACACTCGCCTATCCAATCCTTAACAATTAGTGGTCGTTTGCCTTTCCGATAATTCAAAACGATTAATTCAAGACAACGAACTTGGTTTAAATCTTGGATATACTCCTTTTTCAGGTGTGCATCGTAAATTTGCATTCGAGGTTGCTTCGCTGTAATATATACTGTAACACAATGATTATATTCGGCAGTTGAATACGACAATAACCCTACTTCTTGGGCCGATTTATTCAATTCATCTTCAGCTTCCTTTAGTATTTCGTTATGTTTTCCTTCGGTAATGTTTTTGCATTCGTAAATTCTCGTGAGGTAATGCAAATTTTTAAGGTTGTTTAAGATCTTCGTGCAGCTTGGGGCCATTCCACGGGTTACTGCCCCGTATTTTTGAATGAATTTCGTTGGGCAGAAGTGGATCTTCTTTATGGTAAACATGTACAGGAGTGCAGCAAGCCCACAAGGTGCCACAGGGCATCTTATATCGGCTTTAGATGGAAATTGTGACTCCTCGTCAGAATTAGACTGCAAGAAAACATTGAACATAACACTATAAGAGTCCAATCTGACCTTAATTGTAAATTACAGCATCCAAGATTCATTGCTTAAACAATAAATTTCAGTGGATGCAGAGAAAATTTGGAAAACTATTCAAATTTAGTTTGCCAAGCGTGGAAATTAGCTCCGGAAAAAAGGTAGGCAATGGCACTCTCTAAAATATAAGGGGCTTAACGAAAGGAGGGCTATGCTTACAGCAACGAAATTGTGAAAATATAGGGATTTGGAAAACTTACGTCCGTTTCATTTCCATCAATTTCTTCGTTTTCAAGTGGCCTTTTTCTTCTCTGATCTGTATCCATACTGATTACCAGCCGGCCATCTGTTTCACTCGACCCTGACGACTGCAAAACAAATGGAAGTTCAGTTTAAAGTTAAAACGTCGATTCCAACAAGTGGATAGACATATATTCATGACACCTCCATGGTGCTAGGTGGAGTTTAATGCATGAACCTTAGGCTAGAGAGTATATTGTCTCTTCCTCGTCTAGAGATGTATCGCGTTATGATATGTAGTAGTAAACGAGATCAGGGGCTTGTCGAGTTTGTAGCAGCCTTGTTTAGCAACTACACACTCAGTTGGGAAAATATACATTCCCAGGGGAAATAAGTTGTTTCCAAGAAAGTTGTATGTTTTTGCGTGGTTTTTCTTGGTTGATAGTTACAGAGTAATACGCAATTTATTCACTGCGGTACATCAAAGAAAAACGGACTGAATCATGATATAATAGGAATTATTTACCTCATTTTTATTATCTTGCACCGACAAAGAACCAAATTGTTCTGTTATTCCCTTTTGTCCACACTCTTCGCATACTTTAGAAGCTAACTGTCGTTCAAGTTGCTTTATTTTCTTTCTCGTTTCTTCGTCTTTCTGTTTCCATATTTTATTGACGTTTCTTAATGCTTTTATTTCCTTTAGTTTTCGTTCATACGCTTCGATAAAAGAGTTTACGCAACTACAAAATTGTTGCCTTGCTTCGACTGAAATCTCGTCTTCAGACAGATGATTGACAAACTTGCAAATGGTGTTTCGAACCAAATCTCTTTCCGCATGTAAGGTAGGTTGGACTTCGCCATCCTCCTGAAAAATATAGAAGAAATGCCACTAAACCCACAACTGCCAAAGCCAGCCGAGTAAAGGGCCTAGGGGCTGGAACTAACTCGTTGCTTGCTTTGTGAAAGAAAGCGCGTTATTTGTACTGATTGAAGGTCAGAGCTTACGAATTAGATAAGCATGAATGAATAGAATTAATGTATAAGCATGAATGAATTGATTGAATTTACCACGCAGTTACATAAAGGGAAATAAAAAATAAAGGGAAATAAAAGAAAGGGAAATAAATTGAGAGGGAAATAAAAAATCTTAAGACTTATAAATACTTTCTCATAGACACATAGTAAAGTTGTACATTACTGTTACAAATAACAACTAGACGTATAGCGACGCTAAATATATACAAGTAGTGCATTATTTTACAATTGGAAAATAACATAGTATGCAAAAAATAAAGAATGCACCAAGTGTATATACAACTAAACTAATTTTTATTATGTTATACTGCATAAGACACGTACTTCTATTCTTTATTCAGCTGGTATAGTGTTAAAAGGACTACAAGTCTGTATTAAGCTCAATTAAGTTCTAGTTTAATACTAAAAGGCGGCCTTCACGCCATGCTTTTTAAGAACAACAACTTACTCTTTTCTGTGTTGCATTTCTCGCCCGTTCTGATTTTGTGTTCGATATGGCTGGTAGGAATGATTGTGTTGCTCGACCAAACATCATTTTAGCTGGACTTTGTCCAGTACCCTGGCGTGGCGTGTTTCTCAGTTCAAGTAAAGCCTCATATTGATCAGTGTTGTCCCGCAGTGACTTCTTCATCATTAGCTTTATAGTTTTAACTGCAGCTTCCGCTTTTCCATTCGATTGGTGATGGAGGGGTGACGATGTTACATGCTTAATTCCCCAGTGTTTGGTGAAGGTCTTGAACTCGGAGGAAATAAATTGGGAACCACAATCAGTTACCATTTCACTTGGTATGCCATATCTTGCAAAATGTCCTTTGAGTTTGGTGATTATCTGTTTACTTGTGGCAGTGCTTAGGTGGTCAACTTCTATGAAACCCGAGAAATAGTCAACCGTGGCTAGATAATCTCTTCCCTTGATCTCGAAAAGGTCAATTCCAACCTTATTCCAAGGTTGCTGGCAAGCCTCACAGTTCTCTGCTAGCTGTCGTACTTCTTTTGCCATTCCGGGCCAAAATATGGTGTCTCGAGCTCGTCTTTTCATACTATTGTACCCCAAATGTGCAGAGTGCAATCGTTTCTTTGTGGTGTCACGGAGCGATGCTGGGATAACTATTGTTTCTCCCCTTAGGATAATTCCATTTTGATGGCTCAATGTGTCTCGCACATCAAAATATGGCCTCAGATCATTTTGTACATCCTTCTTGCTTTCTGGCCAACCATCTTTTATAGTGCTCAACAGGGACTGCATACATTGGTCCTGTGCGGTAGCCGCTTGTACCTCCCGGATTCGCTCATCTGGCACTCCTTTCAAAGCATTTACTTTCATGACTCTCACCTGTGCGTCAGGAACATCAAGAAAAGCTCGGCTGTGGGTGTCGGCAATAACAAGTTGACTTCCTTGAATGTAGTGAAATTCAATGTCACGGGTTTTGTTGGGAACTTCCACAGTTGCAAGCCAGTTGGTATCGGAGTCATCAGATTCATCAGAGTTGCTCTTTGTCTCTAGTGTGTGTACTTTCTTGCACTTGACTTCAAAATGGTTTCTGCCTTTACAATGGTTACAGAGTTTCCCCCAGGCGGGACACTTTGTCTTAATGGCTTGATGAGACTTTCCACAAAAATTGCACTCCTTCAGGATGTGAGGGTTATTCCTGTTCTTTTGTTGTTCAGGATGTTGTTTTGATGGATACTTTGAGCTTTTCTTGCCAGCTATCTGCTCAATCTTCTGTAGTTGACTGCTTTCACTCATTTCCTTTTTATTTCTCGAGGTGATCTCATAAGCTTTGCATATTTCTACAGCTTTCTTTAAGTCTAAACTAGTCTCTCGTAATAACAGTTCTTGTTGCTTACCGGTTACAGTGAAGACTATCTTGTCTCGTATCATTCTTTCTTTTTCCTTGAAATTGCATGAATCAGCGTAAGAGTACAACTTTGTTAGGAATGTGTGAAAAGGTTCTTGGAAGGGTACTTGCCAAAAGCGAAAGGATTGCAGAACTTCATTTTGTCGTGGATTGCAATATTCCTCTAGTTTTTCGAGCACTTTAACAGGATCATTTTTGTCATTTTCTCCTTCAAATTCAAAATGATCATAAACCTCAAGGACTTGCGGGCCTGCACAGTGTAATATAACAGCCGTTTGTCGCTGCTTCGGCTTGTTATTATTCCCACTAGCTTCCATATAAACTTGTAACTGACGTTTCCATTTCTTAAAGCTATGTGCCACATTACGGTCTGTCAGATCGAGCGATGAAGGTAGATGAAATTGTGCCATTTCCATTTAAATAAGTATAGATACTCACAAAATACTAAGGATCTTTAAGAATATATCGCTGCCACCATGTTAAAAGGACTACAAGTCTGTATTTAGCTCAATTAAGTTCTAGTTTAATACTAAAAGGAACACCGCGGAAAAACGTCTGCGCATGCGTCAACCTTATCTGAAATAGTATTGCGAACTTGATGAGAAGCTGTTCCGAACGTTTCCGAAGGCTCAAAACAGTGGCGTGCTGGCAGGGGGGGCCGGGGGGCCACGGCCCCCCCAGCTGGCAATTCTTGGGGGGCGCAAAAATGAAAATGGGGCGCCGAATTTTGAAAGTGGGTGGGAAAAAACGCATTCTCGAAAAAATATGGTTACTTCCGCCAAGAAAAGACATGTTTATAGGCTACAGTATAAAACAGACTAAGCGCATATAGGCGATATATATTAAATTACAGATTATTTTGCCTATAACCGTATTTGCTACCTCACAGCTCACACGAAATCGTTCATATAGAAACATGATCAGTGATCACAGGCAATGTCTCATTACCGGAATATTGGTCAGGTTTCGATCGATGCGATCACAGGAATTATGCCCTTTTTTGCTGGTATTATGCCCTTATATTATGCCCTTTATTATGCTTCATGAATCACGAGAGCGGCGCAAATTAGATAGTTGAAGTTATGATAACTAATGTTTAGTTGTGTACGCAATTTAGTTGTTTGCACAAGAAGCATGAGTAATGTAAGCAATGAAATAATGCTGAAACATGCCCTTTTGGCAGCCAGGCAAGGAAACCTTAAAATGCATAT